ATAGTTTCACAGATGGAACGTTTGCATGCTCAGCTGACGGACAACGCTGTAAGTTTGCAAGGATTGCTAGTGAGTTCGTTCTGGAGCCTACTAATTTTGAATCATCTTTTTTAAGTAAATGGTTTATAATGCTCGAGGGAAGGGAGAGGGAGCAAGACGGGGTAAGGTCACAGGACATGGAGGCGAAGATTGAGACGAGAATTGATGTAATGGTAAATGGTACCCAATTTTGAGCTCGAACAGTACTTCTACTCCGCCGATGAGAAAACCAATCTCCCTCCGCTTCGTTGATTGCTTTTTGATGGTGATAACTTGTTAATGACATATCACTGGTTTCGTTCAACCTCCTTCAGCTTGCTTCTCAAGATTAATTTTTTTTTTGATTGGCAATTTTCCCAAACATGATTGCTAGGGTGATACAACTGGGGTGATTTTTAGACGTATCTGTCTCCTATAAAGCAATGGAACATAATTTTACTCTTCTTTTATTAGTACAAATTATTATTTACAACTGGAAGTCAAGCCCTATGGTGTTAGGGCAAGTGAATTTTACTATGTGTGCGTGTACGTATGTTTCTGTATGTATATGTGTCTATATATATGTATGTGTGTGCGTGTGTGTGTATGTGTATGTGTGTGTATGTGTGTGTGTTTGCGTGTGTGTGTGGTACTACTCGGGCCAATTCTGGAGCGCCTACGCCTTTCAGAGGATACAAGTATTGAGAGGATTTGATTTTGACAGCTAGAGTTTACAGTTCAAGATCGAAGAACCTGGCATAGCCGCGTCCTGGTTTGGGAGCGTCGTAAAAATATCACTAAAATGGGATATTCGCAGTGACTGCTCGAGCAGTAATAACGAACACTTGGACTATCGTTATATAACTATAAATGTACGATGTATTCATGCATTTGTCTTTGCCATTTGAAGAATTACTTCTTCGATTGTTATGTACAAGTAGGGCGCGGTAAAGGCATGTATTATTTATTGTGCCTTTCCCTTTCCCTGCCGTGCTTCCGCTAATAAGTACTTGTTTTTAGAAGCACATTTAGGAACCAAAATTGCTTGAAAATACATACGCACATACAGACACACACACACGCACACACACACACACACACAAAAGGAGACGCAGAAAGTTAACTTGTTTGACATGCTCCATACACTATTTTG